ATGTAAAAATATGATCGAAAAAACCACTAGAGTCTGTTATGTTTTGACAACACGTGAAAAATCACATATTCAAAACTCAATGTTTACCTACTGCTCTGTTAAGCATAAAATTCAATATTAATAATCGATAATGTTGAATTGAAGATGATAACTTAACACCTGAAGTACGAACAACCGGAAAACCGGTATAGGTATATATATATTTCAACTACTTCACCAAAACGTTTGAAATAGAATGTTAACATTTTTCAAATATTTCATTATTCCATAATTTCGATTAGAAATCTGCCTTGCTCGCTACCAAAGGAGTTAGTAGTACAGAAACGATTCTTGATATGCAAATCAGTAAGTCACATGACAACCACAGCCGATGTAACGTCATAACGGAAGGAAGGTATCAGAACTACATTTTGACGTTGTGTAGGTAGTATGATGCCAATGGAAACTTGTCGCTTTTGGGAAGGGTGTGTAACAGCCCTTTCCGATGCAAAATATTCACACACTCAGCTCATAAGATGTGATCATACCGGGGATTTAAAATAAACTTGTACTTAATATAATTGGAAAACAAATGAATACGAATCAACTTTGGACATCAGGACCATCCAGCAAGAGGCTTGCAACAAGTCTTTCCTCAGTCGTGGTTAGCAAAGTGAAGTATCTTTTAACAGATGAGAATTCGCGAACACAAAAATCAGTGGCAAAAGTCATCGATGTACCCCACGTATGCAACACTATGCAACATAACCAAGAAGAATTTCAGGGTGGAAAGTGATACAAATCACGTATACATAATTTGCTTCCTGAACGTATTTGTTCAACAGCCGCATACCCCAAGCGGTTGAAGAATGAAATAGGTACATCTAATCAGCCATGATTGATACAGTGTGCTTGGTTTAACTCGTAACAAACTGAAGCATCAGTAACTGTCTGTGTCCTATATCTTTGCAAAGATTAATGATAATACGTCCTGATTTGTTTGTTAGAATTTTTCACAAAGCTACTCAAGGGCTATCTACGCATAGCCATCCCTAATTTTAAACTGAAAGACTAAAGGAAATACAAATAGTCAACAACATCCATGGTAACTCTTGTCTGACCGAATGGTGGTACTTAACTTTTATAGCTTATCCACGGTCCCAAAGTTAATCGGCAACATACATGTTTTTTTATAATGTATAACTACATTGTCTTAAAAACATATAGTTCTTTTTAATTTTTTTATGTATGGTTACAAATATATTTCTAATTGTATTTCAGTAGACCCCTTGTGAACGTAAAATTAATGACTTGAAAATAATTTATGGATCTGCTCCTTGATTAAATTAAACGCATTAATGTTTAGACAAACATAAAATAAATTAGTAAAGTATATTTTGAAATTTGTAAAAGTATTTTAATAGCATTCAAAATAATTTGTTTAATACGAATAAGTCGTTCGGTGAATTAGCGATAGTTTTACAGACCTGCAGTTCTAAAATCCGTGGTTAGAATCCCCGTTGTGAGCACTGTGCATATAGCTAATTTTGTAGCTTTGCGCTAAAAACCAACAATAAAATAAATTTGAATAAAAAAAGAAATAAACATGGTTGTTTTAGTTTTATTTTGCTTGTAGTGATTTACTTCCTACTAGAGAGCCAAAAACTTTTAGTAAAAAATAATTACTGTATCTCTGTGTATAAACTTGACGTCTTATGTTGATACTGAACAACGTACTGGAAAAGTATTGTAGCAAGCACTATGTTTTTGTAATAATAAAGAAGTTTACAACCATGTAAAGATCGGAAGTGCCATTACATTAAGTTTAAAATTCACGTCACTTTTAATCAAATATTAATTTCGTTTTATTACTTGTTTTATCAGCGCAGAGCTATACAATGGACTATTTACGTATTATACACCACCAGGAATTGAACCCCGGATTCCACTATAGTAAGTCCGGAAATTTACAGCTGACCTACCGAGAACGGTTTTCTTAGAAAACGTAAATTAATGCAATTTATAATACAAATCAAATTGTACAGTACTTTTTCATGTGTGTGCGTATTTGTTTTCTACAAATATTATAAAAAGTACAAGAAATGCATGGAAAATGTAGGGAGAGTATTTTAGAAAATAATAATATGTATCAATTAACATAAAATTGATACAAAGTATCTTATAACGGCTTATAATTTCAACTGAAACGTATACTGAAAATTATCTCACTCATATTTATTAGATTTGAGGAGAATTTTTCGAATTTCTATCAAACATTTTTGGGTAAAGTAAAGTACTTTTTAAAATCGATAGTAACAAAAGCAGCATTTGTACGTTTAATATTATCTATCAAACGATAGTAAAGAAATGATCTAAAGATACCATCTTTAAGTATCACAAGTAATTTAGAAAAACAATATTTGCTAGAAACTGGTAAAGCTTGTTTAATTTTACGGCTATTGTATTTTGTAATTAGAGCGCTTTTAATCTCTTCAGTAGAACAAATGGCCAACAAATATTGAAACTCAGTTTTATTTAATTTAAAGAGCGCTATTTTAATATTAGGATATTTCTGGAATTACGTTTAGCTAAGAATCAAATATTATCGTTTTTGTAAAGAGGAAAAAGTTAGATCTGAAGATAATAATTATTTATTTAGATATGTATATATATTAGTTGTATAATTCAGAATTATTTTATTATATATACTTGCGTAGTTTTTGTTATTTGTTAAACAATAACATATGTTATGTGCGTGACAAGATATGTTTCAACGTCGAAAAACTGTTTCGAAAGAGAATGTCTCTGTTTTAAGTGTCTGTGAATCAGCATACATGTAGAATTACAATAAACTTGAAAGTCACGCTATACCCAGGAAGCCACGGGGGTTGTGTAGCCATGGTCTGCTGTAAAAAGTTGTGAATGTTATTTCATTTCTACTGCTAACAAAGAGTACTTTCTAGGTGCACAAACAGGCGGATCAGCTACTGTAGGTTTTAACGCTCGGACACCCTACTTTTGACGTATACAGATGACATACATGAGAATGTAAAATTGTTACAGATATCTTTAGTAACCTTAAAATTAAACATAAACTGTATTCTTATATCTTTTTAGGTAAAATATTATTGGAAAATCCGTTTCAACACATTGATAATATATGAACTCAAAATCTTAAAAGTTAGAATGCCTAAGGGAACTATCCCAGATAAGACTGATTATCACATAACACTGGGAAAACATTTTAACAGCAAAATATATTTAATCTAACACTGAAAACGATATGGTTTGAAATACTGAGTCGACACATTGCAATAAACTCAAAGAGATAACTAGATTCAGTCAACAGGATATTGCCTACTACGTGAGGATAAATGCCATATAGTATTCCCAGCTACTACTTTTTACAGTTTATCCTTACAAAAGCAATGCTCACTTGGAAAAATTTACATGTGAAGTAGACCCGCATAAATATAAGCACATAACGCCAAACATAAATAAAGAACACAACAAAGTTCAGAGATCAATTATCATGCACATCACATTCAGGATCATTACTTTCATCAAACTGTACCAAGTACTGTGCACGTGAATATTTTACCACTGATCCATGACACTTGCACCCTAGATAATATGGTACTTGTTTCTTGGCACAGGAGCAGTTACTACTGCAACCCTTTTTGCAATCACATGAGACTGACTTTGACATATGGTCTGGCCACAGTGGTGTGGTAACAGGCAGTGATACAGCCAAACTCCACTCACAGTCCATCCAATGTCATCGAGTGGGGGATTGCCGGTTTTGCTATGTGTGCTGTCTTGTCAATTATTGTGGTCAGAGCAGATTTCTTTAGATTTTGCATGACGGCATCCTCAGTAGGTGTCTACAGCGTCAGTAACGAAATCTCGTTGTTGAGGAATTTATTGGCTCTGATGTCCGCTAGACTAGACTCACCCATTTCCATATTCTCGATGTACACAATACGGCATCCTCAGTAGGTGTCTACAGCGTCAGTAACGAAATCTCGTTCTTGTGGAATTTATTGGCTCTGATGTCCGCTAGACTAGACTCACCCATTTCATGTACACAACAGTCAACAAATTCCTTGTCCAATTGATAACCTCATCAGTGAGAGATGAGTAATCAGTTTCTGAAAATTCTTCAAGGACATCAATGTTGATCTTCTTGCTGGCTACCAACCAACCAGTCCTTCTTACTGGTAGCTGGTAGTATCCACACTGAGACTGGATAAAAGGTATTGATCGACACTGAGCTCAACCTAGATACCTTGAAATTTCGGGAATTGGCAAGTCAAGTCCGTACCTATAATTCCTGAAGATCCTTCAGGAGTGTAGGTGCATAATAAATGCAAAGGACTATTAGATCAGTATCATTAGCATGGACTATGACACGTTGAGCCGGTTCTTTCTGTATACCGTATACAACATAGAGAATGATCCTAGTGTCTGCTTCCTCTTCAATTGATTCTAAGTCTAAAACAGAAGTTACCATACCCATGTCCCAAGTACAGGTTTGGTTTCATTTTGAACAACACCTTTGAATATTCTGACAATCTCTGAAACTGAGGCTTAGAAACCCAATAAAAGTAATGTGTTTCTCCATTAGAAATTTTTATAAAATCATTTTTGCAAAAAAAGTAATAATACAATTAAAATTTGCTTTGTTTTATTAGAGAGATGCAAATAAACAAATGACGGTAAAACGTTATTGATATTTTTCTTAACATTTTCATGTGTTGAAGGGTCACTCATTCTGAGCCTAATACCCGACTTACAGTAGCTTGTTGGAAAGGTTATCCACAAAGATATTGTTCCTGGATAACCAAAGATTACAACCTTTTACAGCAGCTCATGTCTGTTTTCGTGAGACATGGCTCTCTGGGTACTACGAGAAACCGGGTTTCGATACTTGTGGTGGGCACAACACAGCTAGCCCATGGTGTTGCTTTGTGCTTAACAAGAAACAAATACGTTATTGTACATAGTTCTTTCCGCAGACCATTTATTTTGTAAAATATCGGATTATATAATACAAGTCATTTCACATACACACAAAAAAAGGCATTTTCGCGTCGTTTATGCAGTACACTGATGATAATATACACGACCTCAATTATTGTTGAGGTAATATTGTTAAAAATGATAACCTATTTTCACTTACTTCTGTAATGAATATCAAATGTATTTATAATGAAACTTCCTTTATAATCAATATCTACATTGTTAGGTCATCATGCACAGTTATTAATAATACTTGGTAGATTTAGTCTATTGCATTTTAATAAACTAGTTACACACGTAAAAACATGTATATATATATATATATTTACCAATAAAAAACATTAATCTCTCGTCAATATCTTGGCATTCTTCAACAAGTTTAAAACTAGTCGGACTGTGTCAGTAACTTTTAACAATAATCAGCACATTAGTATAAGTATTCTTGAACTGGGTTTCTGATTCTAATAATTAATAAACGCATATTTTAAGTTTATAAATAAAACATAATACGATGACACTGTTTTGTCATTGTGATAACTATAGAGATAATAATACCAGTATAACAGTAGTTTTGAAAACAATATCTTTGGTACAATAACAAAAACAAATGTTTCAAACTGTAATAAAAGACGCTTCGATCTAATCACACAAATACTATTTTTAAATACATTTATATATTATTCAATGCTTCGTTATAGTTTAATGCCGTAAAGTTACAAAACAACAGAGCAGTGTAAAAAGTATCAATCATAGTTTTTATCAGAATAAGCTTTTTTTTCGTTCTGATGGAGTTAGAATAAAAAAACATAAAACCAATCCACGTTAACAATTAGAAGCATTTATGCTTATAAGTTGGTTATTTTGTCACTATTATATCAACTAATTTCAAATTGTTTGTTTTGCAGAATGAATCTTTTACGGCTCTCAAAGAAAGTTGTTCTTCGATGAAATAGAATTGTTTACGTTGTAAAACGGTTTCTATGTACAAGGTGATTGTGTGGGAGGTAAAGCTATAGTTTCAGTTCTCTACGTCTAGTATATCGTGCATATAAGAATCTAATTTTCCCGACAAAATGTCTGTGTCCGGAACACTGCAACTTAATGGAGAATGATGAGTGTTTTCTGTTTGATCCGGTATGTCAAGGGTGTGGGTTAAAATGTGTCGCCTGAGGTCGCAGTTCCGCCGGAACACTTTACTACAAGAACCGCAGTTGTATGGTTTGATATCGGTGTGGGTGAGCAGATGGGTCTTTAAATTGCTTCTCTGGTTAAAGTTGCGCCCACAGGTTGGACACTTGTGGGGTGAATCTTCCATGTGAAGAATCCTGTGGACGGCTAGAGTGCGAGATTGACAGAAGCCTTTTCCACATTCCGTACACTTGAAAGGCTTGTCCTTGGAATGGATATATCTGAAATATGTACGAATAAAAATCCATAAAAACTGACTACAATTTTATAATAATACGATATTTATTTTGGATTATTCAGTTGTACTAACTGACGCTACTGATATCATGTACCTGTGAAATAAGTGAATTTTTTAAATTATAAAGTATTTACGCTAAATGAATGCGGGTTGTCTTGATGTTCAAAAATACTTGCTATGTTGAAGTATTTGTAATATAATGGTCATTTAACTAGAACTGGAATATTGTCAAACCATGTAAACGCATTACTGTAATTGCATCTCTATTATGAATACTGTTCAACCAATAATTAAAGGTCATGTTAGGTTAAGCTTAAACTAGGCTATCCTGATTGCTAGTATATTTAAAAGGATAAACATTTCGTTACTGGTTTATATTATTGCTTTAAATAATTGCTTGATATTTCAGTGATAATACTTATATGTCTATCTATCTAAATACATATAACACGTGACGAAATTCAATATTAAAAAGCTTTACTATATAAAACCCAATTACGACGCCATGTTAGCTATTAATTATTCTTTTATTTTGATCTTTTCCTTGTCTAAGTAATTTATATTAAAATGTTATCGTTTTATGGTTTTAGGACAATAGAATATTCTTTAAATTTCCATAGAGCAGTGATGTATTTTCGACCACAAAAGTATCATATTTTTCAGATATGTCACAGAATATTCACGTGCTTAGTGATTCTGTTTGTTATCTTATAGCTAGCCATAAAACAAACCAAAAAATAAATGGAACCGAAGACCTTATTAAAGTCGAAATAACGCTTTCATAGTTTATTAAACATATGATTTACGTATAAGCATTAATAGCTCGGACGCAACATTTCAAATGTGTATTAGTTCTTGAAAAATCATCTTTGTTAACTGCACTTTTTGATGTCTAAATTTACATGTTTTCCGAATAATATTAGTGTGCTTATGAATTCTGAACGAATTTTTTATAAGATCCTAAGCCATTTGGATATTTTCTGTAATATGTTCACCATAAGGCAAATAAAGAAAGTTTTCAAAAAAGTACCTGTGATCTCGTAGATGATCTTGTCTCCGGAAAGCTTTATGGCAGATGTCGCAGCTGTAAGGTCGCTCATCCGTGTGTGTTCTTTCGTGAATCAACAGGTTGTAAGATTTGGTGAAGTGACGCTGACAATATTTACAGATAAACTCTTTCTTCGGCTTCGATGACCCTCGACCTCGAGAATCTTTCTGTTCAAAGATCTCTGCTTCAAATTCGACTGGTCCAATACTATAGAAAGGTGTTATAATCGGAAATGAGTGACCAGATGTAAATGGAAAAGAAGCTGTAGTTGGAATACCTCGCTGTCTGTGGGAGCGAATTAGTCCTTTAGTAACAATCTCATCAACATCTGTTGTCTTCTGAGAACGTGTGGCTTCTTTGGAATCTATTTCATCGTCTTTGGTCGTAGCTGATTCTGCTAGACGCGAAAAATCGAATTTCGAAGCTTTTTGTTTCATAGTATTTGATATATTAGATACCATTGGTCGTGCGTCTATATGAATAAGTTTGTGAGAGAAATTTTCTGTTCTTATGCTTGCAATTTCTAAATCTTTTACGAAGTCTAGTTTCACAGGTGTTTGGCCAGAAGAATGAGCAGCAAAAAGAAAGGGGTATGTGCGGAAGTGATTGCCACAACCTACCATTGCATAAGCAGGTAAAAAAGGAAGAGGAACTAGTGGCATCTGAGGTCGAGGATAAATGAGATGCGGAAGTGCATGCATTGTTGAAGAACACATTAAAAGTTTCGAGAAATCTTGCTTCAGGTTTGGAAAAATGATAGAATTGTAGTACCAGGAGAAAGATGAGAACAAGTTCAGTGTAAGTGCAACAGATGAAGGGACTTTATTTCTCTCTGCTGTAGGAAATTTTATACTAGTTGCTGATGGCGTCTTTTGCCGGACGACATCTGGTGACAAGAAAATTAAAAAAAAGAAAGTTAACAGCCTTATAAAGAAGCCGAGGATCATATTTCATTCCACGTAACGTCCCACCCACACCTGCACAATAGAGTTTTACACGTACAATACTCCCATTTATAAATTAATCAGCGAGTGGGCCATTTACTTTCACCACCTGGCGTCATAAATCATGGTCATAATATACTCACATATATTTTGGGTTGTGGCAACTCCCAAGAGACTGAAAACGTAGATCACAAATAAGCTTACAGGGCTTAAGAAATACGACAAAAGCTTGAGACTTATATCAAGTGCTTTCCTACCACCCACGTGCAATCCCACCAACACAAACCGTTTCTACAAAAAAATCACGTCATAGCTTGTCGAAATCTCTTCATACCATCTGGTAAGCATAAAATAAATAGGTGGGCTGACCATGTTTTCACTTGAAATCAAGTTTTTAAAGACACTGTTTTCAAATTTACTATTTGCGTCCAGTAGATGTCTTTTTCATACTCTAATCAGAGCACTTACTTGAATATTTAGCAAACTCAATTATTCGATGACGAGGAACCCACTTTGAGACTAATAATGCTTGGAGACGGCTTGAATTGGTAATGAAGAAATATTTTAATATAAGTTTAACATAACAACAAATGTACAACGTTTCGACAAGGTTTTGTCATCATCAACCTTGTCAAAACGTTG